CAGTTTGGCTCAGCAGAAAAAGCATGGACCTACAGACCAAAGGGTTCTGGGTTCATTTCCAGTCAAGGGCACATACCTTGGTTGCAGGCTCCTCCCTGGCCCAGGCCCTGGGTGGGGCTTGTGCAGGAGGCAACCAATTATTGTGTTTCTTTCACATCCATGTTTCTCTTTGTCTTCCCCTCTCTCTCTCTCACTCTCTCTAAAAATTAATGGAAAAATATCCTCAGGTAGGAATTAACAAAAAATAATTACATATATCTATTCTACTTTACACAAGTGAGAATTATGGTAGTGCACAAGCATCAAGGACAAAAGATAAAACAGATATAAGTAATAAAATTTTTATCCTTTAGGGAAATAATACCCAAAGGACTCCATTATTTATAGGAAACTGTATGCCATTGGTTTAAATGAATCCATTTCCCAAATATTCATTTTATGTGTGTTTAAACATCATAAAGTATCTACTGAATAAAGTAAATTTAGGTTTTAATAGTTACAATTCATCTTTTTCAGTCATTTACTCCCTGCTTGGCTTCCCACATTATATGTGAGTTATTGAAAGATTTAGCTAGTTCATTAAGAGCTGAAAACATTCAGACTAAAACGTCACAGTTTGTCGGGACCGGTTTGGCTCAGTGGATAGAGCATCGGCCTGCGGACTGAAGGGTCCCGGGTTCGATTCCGGTCAAGGGCATGTGACTTGGTTGTGGGCACATCCCCTGTGGGGAGTGTGCAAGAGGCAGCTGGTCGATGTTTCTCTCTCATCGACGTTTCTAACTCTCTGTCCCTCTCAATTTCCTCTCTGTGTAAAATCAATAAAATATATTTTAAAAATAAATAAATAAATAATAAATAAAAAATAAAACGTCACAGTTTGACCCAAGTACAATCCATCCCTGCCTCTTCAGTTTGTGTTCTGCTGCTCCCCAAATTGTAAATGTGGGTATTCTGCATGAAGGTGTTTATCACACTGTTAGATACATTCTGGGAATCCTTGAAGTTTCTTTTATAGGTGCATATACTTTGCAGGACCCTTTATTCTAGATTAGATTTTTTTCTAGTTATATGTTTAAAGATCATGGTCTCTCCCTGCTATATACCCCTTTCATATTCTCTTGGCAGAAAGTTTGCCCTCCAACACACACACACACACACACACACACACACACACACACACACACACCTCTGATAGAATTTCCTCATGGCCCTTTCAGAATTGGCCAGGCAAGGAGGACCTCACACCTACCTATGCAGGTTTACAGAAGCACAATATTGGATCTCTTCAAATCAGTTCTGCACATATTGTATGCTAGATCAAGCAATCAAAGAAGTTTCCTTTCTTCTGCCATCCCTTGTAGACTGTTGTTGGGGCCCTGAAGGAAGTGAAGATTAATGATTAGCAATGTCTATAATGAGTATAGAAAGACAAAAAGGGATAGATAATCATCTCCCACTCCCCTTACTTGCATCCCAAAATTTATGCTAATCCTTATTTATGCCCATCCCCACCCCATCTCCATAAAAAAGATGCACCAAATGAATGCAGATTTTCTCAGTGCCTTTACATCCTGATAGAGCTGCAAGTGCAATAATGTCACCTCCCTTGAAGGCATTCCATAGGATTACCTAAAATAAAGATAAGTATAATCCCTGGCACATAGATTATATTTCATTGATGTTTTTTCATGTTACTGACAACACTCTCCACTTTATTGTTGTACATTGCCTCAAAACAAACCAGAAAGTTGCTTTTAGCTGTGTGTTTGTGAACAGAATAAGGTAGGACTTCATAAGGAAGCATTTTATCATTTAAACATCCTAGAGAGAGGAAGATCAGATACATGCAAAAAAAAAAAAAATGAAACTATATCACTAACTTATACTATACACAAAAACAAAATCAAATGGCTAAAGGACTTAAATATAAGATGGGAAACCATAAAAATCCTAAAAGACTTCATAGGCAGCAAACTAGTAGACATATGTCGTAGCAATATCTTTACTGCCACAGCTCCTAGGGCAATGGAAACTAAGGAAAAAATAAACAAATAGGAATACATCAAAACAAAAAGCTTATGCACAGCAAGAGAAACCATCAACAAAACAACAAAAAGCCCACTGCATGGGAGAACATATTTGCCAATGCTATTTCAGATAAGAGTTTAATTTCCAAAATTTACAGAGAACTCATACAACTTAATAAAAGGAAGATAAACAATCCAATCAAAAAATGGGCAAAGGACCTAAGTAGACACTTTTCAAAAGAGGACATACAGAAGGCCAAGAGACATGAAAACATGTTCAAAGTCACTAATCATCCAAGAGATGCAAATCAAAACAACAATGAGATACCATCTCACATCTATCAGAATGGCTATCATCAACAAATCAACAAACGACATGTGCTGGCAAGGATGTGGAGAAAAAAAGGAACTCTCTTGCACTGCAGACTGGTATAGCCACTGTGGAAAATAGTATGGGATTTCCTCAGAAAGTTAAAAATGAAACTCCCATCTGACTCAGTAATCCCACTTCTAGGACTATATCCCAAGAAACCAGAATCACAAATCAGAAATAAAGAAAGGAAGGAAGAAAGGAAGGAAGGAAGGGAGGGAGGGAGGAAGGAAGGGAGGGAGGGAGAAAGAAAGGGAGGAAGGAAATGAAAATTTAAAAAAATAATAATTTAGCTAAAATTCCCCTATTGGTGAATACTTATATTTTAAATTTTTTGTTGATATATATATAAACAAAAAAACAAAAACATTGCCCTAACCAGTTTGGGCAGTGGAAAGAGCGGTGGCCTGCAGACTGAAGGGCCCCAGGTTCAATTTGGGTCAAGGGCATGTACTTTGGTTACAGGCACAGTCCCGGGGGGCGGGGGGGGGGGGGGGGAATTGCAGGAGGTGGCTGATAGATGTTTCTCTCTCATTGATATTTCTGACTCTCTATCCCTCTCCTTTTCTTTCTGTAAAAAAAAAAAATTTAATAATATATATATATATATATATTTTAAAAATAATAATATACAAAGATTCAACAGTAGACTAGAGGATTCTGAGAATCAAATCAACAATTTGAAATATGAGGAAGCAAAAACACCCAACCAGAAGAGCAAAAAGAAAAAAGAATCCAAAAATATTAAGATAGTGTAAGGAGCCTCTGGGACAACTTCCAATGTACCAACAGTCACATTATGGGAGTGCCAGAGAAAGAGAGCAAGATATTGAAAACCTATTTGAAGAAATGACAGAAAACTTCCCCTACCTGATAAAAGAATAGACTTACATGTCAAGGAAGCACAGAGAACCCCAAACAAGAGGAACCCAAAGAGGACTACACCAAAACAAATCATAATTAAAATGCCAAGGGCTAAAGACAAAGAGAGAATCTTAAAAGCTGCAAGAGAAGAGCAGTTTGTTACCTACAAGGAAATGCACATACAACTGTCAGCTGATTTCTCAACAGAAACTATGCATGCCAGAAGGGAGTGGCAAGAAATATTCAAAGTGATGCGTATCAAGAACCTACAACTAAGATTACTCTACCCGGCAAAGCTATCATTTAGAACTGAAGGTCAGATAAAGAGCTTCACAGACAAGAAAAAGCTAAAGGAGTTCATCACCACCAAACCAGTATTATATGAAATGTTGAAGAGTATTCTTTAAAAAGAGGAAGAAAAAGAAAAAGATAAAAGAAAAATATGAACAAAATGGCAACAAGTACATACCTATCAACAAACAATAGAATCTAAAACTCAAAACAAATGAAATCTAATGAACAGAATAAGCTGGTGAATCAGAGGCATGGAAATAGAACAGACTGAGGATTCTCAGAGGGAGGGGCGGGGGGCGGGGGTGGATGATGGGTAGGGAAGATTAAACAAAGACCTTATATGCATATATGCATTACCTACAACACAGACAATAGGGTGGCGAAGGCCTGGGGCAGGGTGGGAACCAGGTAGAGAGGGGCAATGGGGGACAAAAGAGGAATATCTGTAATAATCGCAATAAGGTGTTTTTTTGTTTTTGTTTTTAAGACAAATGCTGTTTGATTCCACTTTAAAATAAATAAATAAATAAATAAATAAATAAATAAATAAATAAATAAGAGCAGGACACCACTTGGGTGTCATGGTCTTCCTCACCACGCAGCTCTGGCTGCGGAGCCATGTCACAGACCGCTCCTGGCAGGGGCAGGAAGTGCTGGAGAACCGCTGCTCCGGCTGACTGGTTGTCTAGGCTGTGATGAGAGTGTTTGTGAAATGCACCGAAGCCCAGAGACGGAAGAGGAGGATCCTGAGGAGGCTCTGGATGAATCAAATTACAGCTGCCCCCCAGGCACATGGCCTGAGTTACCCAGGTTCATTGGGAATTTAATTAAGTGCCAGGTGGAGTTCAACAGGAAAGTGCTGGCTAATCTGGCCATCGATGCACCGAAGACTTTTAAGTCCTTGGCTGCTTTGGCCAAAAGGAGGCGAGAGGGAGGATTTGCTGCTGTCTTGGAGGACGAGGAGGAGCCTGCAGGCATCTTTTCCAGAGAGGACAGCACCACTGAGGGGACACTGACACACCTGCCCTCTGCAGTCACGTGTCTCCCCACCCCCATGATCATGTGATCAAAATTAAAATAGGGGCTAAGAGTCATTTGCCAAAAATGTGTTAAGTTTACTTGCAATAGTGTTACTTTACATTTCAGTAACAGTATGAGAGAAAAGGCCTGTTTGTCTTTCTTGGGACGGACCAGCAGAATCTCATGTAGATTGTGCCAATAAAGCTTGTGTGGTGGTCAAAACAAAAAACAAAAAACAAAAAAAAAACCAGCCCTAACCGGTTTGGCTCAATGGATAGAGCTTGGCCTGCAGACTGGAAGGTCCCAGGTTGGATTCCGGTCAAGGGCATGTACCTCGGTTGCAGGCACATCCTCAGTGGGGGTTGTGCAGGAGGCAGCTGAATTGATGGTTCTCTCTCATCCATGTTTCTAACTCTCTATCCCTCTCCCTTCCTCTCTGTAAAAAATCAATAAAATATGTTTTTTAAAAAGAAGTTTAAAAAATAAAACACAAAGACACATCATAGAAGTTATCTGTCCCTTTGATAGTTGCAGAAGTAGTAAACTACTTCACAGGAAATAGAAAATTAAATTAAGTGGGTATAAGCATGTCAGAAATATTGTAATGGATTTTCTGCTTCTTGCTTTTGGCACCTGCTTGCTAGAAGTGCAGTGATGGGTGGTGAGTCGCTAGATGGATATATCATTATTAGTCGTGGTTTTACCTTATCTTTTATTGGGATGTGGTGGCTTTGGTCTTTGGTTTTGTTTGTTTGTTTGTTTGTTTGTTTTTTAAATATATTTTTATTTCAGAGAGGAAAGAGGAGAGAGAGAGAGAGAGAGAGAGAGAGAGGGAGAGAAAGAGAGAGAGAGAGACATCAATGATGAGAGAGAATCATTGATCAGCTGCCTCCTGCATGTTCCACACTAGGGCTCAAGCCTACAACCTGGGTATGTGCCCTTGACTTGAACCTTGCACTCTTCAGTCCAAAGGCTGGTGCTCTATCAACTGAGCCAAACCAGCTAGGGCAGTCTTTGGTTTTGCTACAGACCAGACTGGTAGAGGTGTTTTTAAGTAGGTCCTGGGGAAGGGGAAGCAGATGGTCATCACATTGACTCCTTATTTCCAGATAGATTGGTACTCATCTCTTCCAAATAAATGTATCTCAGTTTTTCTTACAAATATCTCAAAAATAAAATAAAAAATCACCTGGAAAAGAACCAGGTGAATTCTGTGTCTGGGGTAAAATTCACTAATATCTCTTTAATTAATACAGTGATTACATAATCAATATTAAATGTCCTCCTGAGCAATTAGCTAATGCAGTGCAGCGGTATCAGTAGGCAACAGAAATCATCTCATTGAAAGTAATTATTTCCTTCTCATCAAAAGACAGGGATAGGGACTGCCTAAATTATCTGAATAATTACCTTAATTATCTCTTTGTGATTATATACAAAACCAGTCTTTGGATGTTTTGGGTTAGGCCCAGGCAAAAGTAAATTCTATCAAAGTTATATATTCTCGCCGAAACCGGTTTGGCTCAGTGGATAGAGCATCGGTCTGCAGACTGAAAGGTCCCGGGTTTGATTCCGGTCAAGGGCATGTACATTGGTTGTGGGCACATCCCCAATGGGGAGTGTGGAGGAGGCAGCTGGTCGATGATTCTCTCTCATCGATGTTTCTAGCTCTCTATCCCTCTCCCTTCCTCTGTGTGAAAAATCGATAAAATATATTTTTTTAAAAAGTTATATATTCTCAACTTATCACAACATCCCTTAAACAATTTATGCCCAACAACTAATCATACAATCATTAGAAGTCAATTTTGGAGTCATAATTGTATATAATAATTATAATCATAGGCTAATATTTGTTTTAATATGGAAATGTCATTTTATTTGTATTCATTATATTATTTAAACTTCAAAAGAACAACTTAGAGCCTGACAGGTATGGCTCAGTGGTTGAGCATTGACCCATGAACCTAGAAGTCACAGTTCGATTCCCAGTCAGGCCACATGCCTGGGTTGTGGGCTCAATCCCCAGTGTGTGTGTGTGTGTGTGTGTGTGTGTGTGTGTGTGTGTGTGTTGAGGAGGCAGCCGATCAATGATTCTCTCTAATCATTAATTTTAAATCTCTCTCTCCCTCTCCCTTCCTCTCTAAAATAAAATATATTATTTTAAAAAGAACCAACTTAATAAAAACTACTTTTCACTATGGCAATTTACCTACTATGGCCTTAAACTCAGATTGTCTTTGTCTCAAAGGCCATGACACTGAGGAAGAAAGAGGTGTAAGATCATATGGTTGGAGTTCCAGTTGGGTTAAGAAATACAGAGTTAGGGGTACAGATTTGGGGATCAGACAGGTCTGGATTAAAATTTCTGCCCTGTCATTTGTCAACAATGTGATCTGTAATTCATTCAATCTCCTTGTACTACATGGGGTTATGATTCACAAGCAACAGAAACTGAGTTTGGTCTATTTAAGCAGAAAAGGAATTTATTGGACGGACAGCCAGTCACACAGAGTCAATGAGAAGCCTGGCAGTAGCACAGGGTGGCCAAGATGCCTCTGCCAGCAGCCATTTTTACTGCAGGAGCCTCAGCACCACCATCCTCAAAGGCTCTGCTGTGTTTTTAAAAATTACCAAACTTTGCCCTGACCGACTTGGCTCAGTGGACTGAAAGGTCTCGAGTTCGATTCTGTCAAGGGCATGTACCTTGGTTGCAGGCCTATCCCCAGTGGGGGGTGTGCAGGAGGCAGCTGATCGATGTTTCTCTCTCATTGATGTTTATAACTCTCTATCCCTCTCCCTTCCTCTCTGTAAAAAAACAATAAAATGTATTTTAAAAAATAATAAACTTCAGTTTGCTGAAGTTTATTATAATATGAGAATATTACCTTCCTTGTGGCTTTGTTGTAAGAATTAGGTATATAAAGTGCATGCATAAAAGCATTCAGCACAGCATCTCACACAGACTAACTATTGGATACATTTCAGCAGGTCTTCCTACTCATACCTTTGAGCAAGTTAGATGGCTTTTCCATGCCTATGTTGTTATTAGTGAAAAGATTATTCCAATCATGCTGTGTGAGTCATAGGCTAACTGCTGAAACAGGAAGGTACTCGGATCTCAATGGCCTGTTCCTCTCTCACTTCATCGTCCCACGAGAGCCACTGGGGTTGGAATGAGGTCCCCACTCCATGCAGGCATTCAGTGACCAGCCACCTGCTGTCTAATAGCTTTGCGATGTTGTTGGCAGAAGAAGGAAGACAGCACCTCTGGGGATTGGAGGGTCTTTAAGGACCAGGCCTAGACGCGGGACACACCACTTCTACCTCTATTCCATCGGCTGGAGTCCAGTCACCAGGCTACAAGGAACCACAGAAGTGTGAGCAATAACATCCAACCACAGGTTCCAGAAGAAAGCGAAACAGCCTTTGGTGAAATGTGACAATCTGCATCACACCTGCCAAACATCCTCAGGAGGTGACTAATAAGATCATAGCAAGTGTGAAAATGCTGTGGAAAGTGACTAAGGAGCTACAGATTATGGTAGCGTGGTTGATTCAGCCAGGGAGTCTCTGTGTGGTTGCTGAAATGCTAAAATATACAGCAATTCTGGGAGGAAGTGGGGGAGGGAGGCGGGAGGATGAGAAGAAACAGAAATATCATCAGAGTGTCCATCATCCTGTAGATGAGACACCTGAACTCGTAAGGCTTTATCTCTCCACTGTATCTTCCAAAATGAGCAACAACCAGTGGACAATCCCCTTTCTTTGCTCATTAGCTCCATCTACAAGGGGTGGGCAGGGAAAATATTTATGTGGAGCAAAAAGGGGGAAAGAATAGAAGGGAAGAAAGCCATCCCTTGGAGGAGAAGGAGGCAGCCGGAAGCAATCATTTGGTCGCAACCAGCCTCCCCAGCAGCAATTCACCACCACATGAAGATGTTGGGGAGTCCATCCCAGTACCGACCTGTATGTGTATGTGTGTGTGTAACCAATCCACGCACTAGACTCAGCATAAATTTCATGCTCAGAAAATTATCTGGAGACCACACATTTGACATGCACCACTCCCATGGGAGAGGGGCCATCAGGACCACAAACGCCACCCAGAACCGCTTTCCATGCTCAGGGCCACTGCCTGGCATACTTGTTATCCACCGAACCACCTGGGTGAGCATGGGGAAGGCGAAGGCGGCCAAGGCCACTGTGTTATTTGTACCAGACAGATGCCTTTTTCGTTCTGTTTTGAGTATCTGCATGGCCTGTCATGGAAGACAAGAGCAAACACAGTTTGCACAGGCTTTGCTCCATGAATGCCAGTGCTACAGAAATGCTCTCAGACCTGGCCAGCTCTGGCCTCCTAAGGGGCTCAGGCCAGATCTGATTTATCTTGCTGCCTTCCTCCTAGCAAGTCTCCTCTTTCTTACCCATTCCTTCGACCCACGGACAATTCATCGCCCGAGTCAAAGGGGAGGTGGTTGGCAGCCCCAGGCTGACTTCACTTTTGGGTTCTCACCTTCTGGTGTTTACTCAAAAGAGTACTCAAATAATTAGCCCAGAATGGGGAACGAACTGGTCAGGCAGGCCGTTCTTGCACTAGTTCAAACCAGAGAGGAATTCAAGACAGTTCTAAAGAGCTGAGCCAGGGTCTCCCAGTGCAGAGAAATGGGATTCAGGCAGAAACTGCAGGGGAGGATAGAAAACAATGTCTAAAATACAAATCTCTTCATTGAAAATACACAAATAGTAACAAAAAGTGTCCACCTACACATGACAATTCTTCATTTTGCAATGCGGGCTCCTGGCAGAGTATATGGGAAATAGAACGGTACTGTTCCAGTTTTTCAAATTAAGAATGATTTGTTTCCCAAATCATTTTCTACTTCTGATGGCTAAACTGCACCAGCCCTAACCGGTTTGGCTCAGTGGATAGAGCGTCGGTCTCTGGACTAAAGGGTCCCGGGTTTGATTCCAGTTAAGGACATGTACCTTGGTTGTGGGCATATCCCCAGTGGGGAATGTGCAGGAGGTAGCTGACTGATGTTTTTAACTCTCTCCTTTCCTCTCTGTAAAAAAAAAAAAAAAAAAAAAAAAAAAAAAAAAAAATCAATAAAATATTTTTTTTTAAAGAATCATGCACCAACAGAGGATACAGGTAAACCTCATTATATTTATTTAGTCCTTGATTTTTATTTATTTTCATCTTCCTAAAGCTACTGTAAAAAATAAACTTTTAAGGACTCGAAAGAAAAACAACTCCATTGATAACAAGCCCAAGTTATCAATGACATGCTACAAACCTGTAATATCTGTTATCTGTGATTACTAGGTAATCATCTCTGCCTTGTGCCTACATTTTTATATTTAATATTCTCTACCATGAAAAATTAACATGTACCAGTCTTAACTGTTTTCCAGTTTTTGGAACTTCAGATGGAAAGATGCTTTATCAGCTGAACATGAAAGGTGGGGC